TATATATATATATATCTCCTTTGGCACTTTAAGTATGGTAGAATAAATGTAGTCATTTAGACTGGAAATAAGTCAAAAGAACAATCATATTAGTTTGAGGTACAATGCCTGCTGAATCCTTGGGTGGCCTTAACAGCAACTACTTAGTAAATCAGGCCTTAACTGTACAGCACAGGCTGCTAAAGCAAAATACAACAACGAGGAAGAGCTTGACAATAATCACTGGGAGCATCTATACACATACATTTACACGCCCAGTGCTGCACTGCATCTATTGGTATAAATGGCAAAAGGTGCGTCAGCGCTGACAAAATGGCGGTGGTGCGTTTCTGAACTAAAACACCTTCGATGTGTTTTAGTTCAAAAGCACGCTGCCACCATTTTCTCAGTGCTGACGCGTATTTTGCTGTTTATACAAATGTATGTGCCGCAGTGCTGGATGCTTTTAAAAACACACGGAGCTGCGGTGCAACCATGTGTACAAATGCCCCGAGGCTCCACCCAAGCACAGTTATTTGCATTACTAGATTCCCAATGTGGGCTTGGGACTGTCAAGCCGAACACTTCTTGTGAATCTAGAACAATCAATCTTTTTTCTTTACTAGTTACCTGTTCTCCTCATGCTGAGGAGTAAAAAGTTGTATTTTTTAAATAAAAGACAACAAAGATATAAAGTTAGTGTGGAATCCTGAAAGTTAGTTATACCGTATAGCTAAATCTTCTAATGAGTGCAAATCTATGTTGCTGCAGTGTACCTACATAGTTAAACGTACTCAGAGAAGTTGGTAAAGTAACGTCCAAAAATCGCCAGTCACAATGGCATTATTAATTTTTTTGCAGACTTAAAAAGAAAAATGCGTCTTATTTTTTTACAACCACAAAAAATAATCAGAAGTTAATTTTAGGATTTTTTCTTCCTCGGACATGCCCATTATATACCAGCTTAAGAAAAATACACACTTTACAAGAACAGAAGAGGGAAAAAAGGACACAGTTTTTCCTCAAAGCTTAAGTAAATCTAACTTTGTAAGTCCAAGGCTAATATATTCTTTTTACAAATTCTGATATCTTTCTGGCATTTCACAATAACAAGGAATCTACTTGGGACTTATATGAAGGAAATTAAAATAAAGTAATATACAGCTGATATTAATACCAATTATTTTTCCTATGCTATTACTTTCCATTAGAAGATATTCTGCCAATGAGTGGAATTACAGCTGCATTCTTTTGTACATCAGATTACAACTACAACCCGACTAATAAATTTAAAAAGAGACTTCTAAAGTGATTGACAAGGAATGCAGACCGTGTCTTTTTAGGTAGTGTTTTTTTTTTTTAAAATACTCTAGATATGGCTAAGTAATCTAATGTTTTCTTAACAGTATTTCCTTTTTTGTCACATGATCTGGACATCCAAGAACAGATGCAGAACATGAAAAACTCAATTTGAAATTGAGTTATTTAAATAGATGTGACAATTCTGAAGAATTAAAGTCAGTCTCCTTATATCTCCTACATTTTTACTCCTCTAGGCTTTGAGTGAACAAACCATTTAACTCTTTATCCATGACCTTCTTCAATCCTACTTCTGACTCCATGAACATTTTTGTATCATTTTAACACATACAGAGGCATGCTGTTACTTTATGCAAAAACCCATTGTGTAATTAGCTCGTTTGAAAGTTCAAACATTCACTGTACACAAAATTCAGAATTTAAGTATAAAAAAATTGACTGAAGTGTATGCCGTTGCTGAACTGACACAACAATCTCACTGTATATGATGCAGCATTTTCTCTTCTCAACTTGTGGGTCTCACGTTTCCCTCTGATAAACTTGAGAATGAACTGTGTTAAAATATCACATTGCAACAGCTCACACTTAGATTGGCAAAATATACAATGCTGACTTGCAAAAGGCAGCCTTAATGCTATGCTGTAATACCAAAAAGAACGACTTTGTATAATACTGTATCAAGTAATTAATAAAGAAAATAGCAACATGGTTTCATAGCTGTAACTGCAATGGGGAACCTTATAAGCCATTGTGTAAAAAAACTGCACAACCATTTTTAAAGTATATTCTTTACAGTACTGTAAGCAACATTCTGCAGCTAAATGCAATTTCCAAAAACAAATGAGAGACATTCACTTACCATATCTCTCATTTTTTTCTTCAGGAAGTTCTTTAACTTAATATATATAATAGTGTATTAGTTCTGGCAGTCCCTGCTAGTACCTGGAGTGGAAAAAAAGGATTTCTTAGGAAAAGAGGAGTGGAATATGCAATTGAATGTAATAAGTCTGACGTGTAGTGTGATGTCCTTACACTAACGCATTCAATATTGATTAACATGAAAAGTTGTGATTTTAGCTTTTGGAAAATTTGCCGGCTTTTCGGGAAGGTTCATATGGCACTCTGAGAATACTAGGGGTTTCCTCCATTACTCGTACAAGAAGATTGTCAATGTAGTCCTCAAGTTCACGAATATGGGTGTCTTTCTTCTTAAGCTGCTCTTTGTGTTTCACCAACTCTTGCAAGACCTCTTCATATGTAAGATTACGGTACCCTGCAGTAGCATCAAAAGGATTTCCATCCTACAAATAAGTTAAAAAAGTAATTTCAACATTTTACTAACCAAGATTGTGAGCAAGTTGAGAGGTATGAAACAAAGTCATTTTGGTACTGATCTTTATACTTAGAAGAAGAATCTCCTAATTACCCTAAATTGGTTAACCCAGATGGAGTCAACAAAGGAGAGAGGAAAGGTTCAGGACAGTTTTTCTCAAACCCTACCTTCTCTTTTCTTTTCTTTCTTGAGTCCTCTCATTTTTTGTTCACCTTTTGTAAAATCTGTAGCAAGGCATTCATTTAGCTCTTCAATAACCTCAAGCCTCATCTGTCTTTTATTTTCCACTCCTGGCCTTTAGTAGTTCTCCAACTTTTAAAAGTCAGGGTCCACACTTATTATATATTGTGACTTTATATTTCATATTTTGGAGGATGCTAAAAGGCTGTATTATCATTGCACTAGAGCACTCAGCTAGAAAGAACTATTACAAGTTTAAAAAGTGGTTAACCAAATCCTAAAAGCAGCAGCAATGAAAACAGAAACATTTTTAGTAACAACTTCTGATGATTCCCTAAATATAGGCATCAAGAGAAGTAAAATTTAGTTCCCAAAATAAAGGAACAAAGCATGAGCCAAGAAACTATAACCTTGAGTGTCTTATTTTCTCCTGAGGAGAGATAATGGTAACATTAAGGAACAAGATTACAATACATTTGGAAACATATAATTGAGAAAAGGATAGTTAGCAAGAGTTGATTTATAAAAGTAATAGTACTGTTAGACACACATAATAATTAGCTTTAGCTGCTTCAGAGGCTGAGGCATTTAAAAGATATGGAACATTTTACTAAATAAAATAATCTAACCCCTCAAAGCTTGAACCTTTGACTGGAATATAAACTGAAGTAATTCATGCTTCGGAGACAGTTTTTGTTTACATTTAAATCTTCTCATTAAAAATGATAAATCAGGTTCTATTAGGAAGTAGACCACATGGTAGATATATACACAAGTAGCCCGCTTCACTCCTTTGCATTTCGGCATAGCTCAATATTTACACATTGGCATCCATCTGATCATTAAAATACGCAGGTGGCCAAAGTTTTCAAGTAAGGCTAATTAAAAGTGAGGGCATACTGTGTGATTCAGTGGGAATGCTACAAGCTATCTGGCCTCTCCCCCAGTCAATTGTTTTCTGTTAGCAATATTAATTATTTAAGGGTTTTTGACTTATTATATTTGTGAGATTTAAAATTATTTTACCCATCGGTATTTAGTCACTAACAATTAACTTGGTTTTGACAATCCGTAACACTAAAAGCTGCCAGTCATTCTTGATGACTCACATAGCTCATTAAAAAAAACCCAAACACCTAACTTGGTGAAATTTATAAATAATTTAGTATTAGATACCCAATGCTGTATGCATAATAGAAAGCATTTCCAATTCTTATTTGTATACTTTGCTTATTTTCTTCCACAGTAAATTAGGAATTTGGCATTACAATACTAATGTTTCAGACACCTCAGAGAACACATTACTAAAACTAGCATATCTAAAAATAAAATTTTTGCTCAATTTTCTCATTTGCAAAAAGACATAAAACTGGTATACAACACTGTTTTTAATTATTATATCTTTTCCCCCAAATAGTTGTGTAATACATATGTTTTAAAGTTGTTTTCTTATGTTCATGCTCCACATGAAACTTTTCTTGTAATAACTTGTTACATAAATGCAAAGGGAAATACTGCTTACAGAAAAATACAAATTTAAACTGCCTACCAGTATGTTTTTCATAAATTTAAAAGTGAACACTGACAGCACTACGGGGTAACTCACGTTTGATGTTAATGTTGTTAATTTGAACAAAAGTAACACATTGCTCTATAGTATCCACTCGACAAAAACTTGCTACTAAAATTTTACTGTAAAATATTTATCTTATTTTAGTAAAATGTACTAAACAGCAACATCCTGGAGGGAGGGTTGTCTTGGTAACTATATGTTATTGGGGTACAAACTGACATCCACAGTAACTGGAGGAGAGTGAGAGAGATAAGAGGAAGGCCTGGCATTCTCTGATCATATCTTTATTGTTCTAATGAGGAATTTTGCTCTGGGAATATCATCTCAGCTACTTTCACATCTTTTGTCCTACTTGCTTCATCTCCCTTTCAGTTCTTAATTAGGCCGTAAAGAGCTCGCGCTGCCCTTTCAACTGGCTACTGCTCCCATTTAAGCACTATTTCCAGAGACAGGTGTTGGCACCAGAGCAGAAGACATACAAGTGTAATTTCTAAACACTAGGTATAAGGAAAGAAAAAAATAACAACTTGGTGGAAGGCTATTACTGCAGAACCTAATATAAATTACTTCAAACATCTTTAAAATAATCTGGAGCATTAAAATGTTTCAAATAGTTTCATTCAAAAACTAAGGGTACATAGATAGTGCCTTCTTCTCTTAATTGTATCTTGCATTAAATGAACATAACCTTATAATCCTGCAACTGACATTTAGGATAGTTGGTATTCCAAAAGAAAATCAGCATATCAAGGATTTCTTTTATCACCTTTAAATCCTTTAAATAAAACAATTCATATCTTATTTCTTAAAAGAATTATTACCAGCAATAAATTACACAATTTGGGATAGTACATTTACAAGCACATAGAAACTGTAATTAAGGTTACTTTACAGACAATAGCTGGTAAATTAAATCAATTTTTTGATGTTGCTTTTTGTCAGAGATTAAGTAACTGACTGGTAGAATTCAGTTTACTATCTGATCAAAGGCAGCCTTCATATACTCTGACATCTCCCTCTAGTTCCTTACATTATACAAACTTGGGTATTTATTATGAAACATCAAAAGTTGTTATAAATCATTTACATAACACAGCAAAATACAAACAGTAGAAATCCTATTTGGTTGTGCAACTTATTTTCTATTTTTTTTTAAGATGGAAAACAAATCCACTTTTAAAGATACAATCTGCTCATAGAACAAAATTCTAGTAAGACCATCATTTCTTTTAAACAAAGAAACTACAAAATGTGTGGATTTTTTCCCTCTGAGTCCGCAGGGGACAGAATAAAACTGTAATGGACTTAAATTGGAATAAGGGAGATTTGGTTAGATATTGGGGAGAACTTACTAACTATGAGCATGATTAAGCAGTAGAAGAGATCACTTCGAGAGGTTGTGGCATTATTGGCACTGGAAGTGGTTAGGGCAAGTAAGACATATATGTCTGAGGTGGTTTAGACAGGGATGATCCTATCTCAAGCAGGGACTAAATAACCTCTTGAGGACCCTTCTAGGTCTTTTCTCTGTTATTTTATGATTCTTTGCATCTTAGAATAAAATGTCTTCTTTCTTTTTTTCTTTTTTTATTATTTTCATAAGAAGCTGTTAATTTTTTATTTTTATTACTAACCCCTTCATATTTATTTCCTAAATCAGGTTATTTCCTCCAAATACCCATCTAAATAACTGTCCTACTAAAGAGCCATAGGCTACAGTAGTAAGAAAGGTCGGTTAGGTAATACACTGCTAATGAAAAATTGTTGACTGGATTCTACTATTTAGTTCCAACTTGTTTTAAATGGCCAAATCAATAGATCTCCCACTATTCCCAGGTGGAAATCCTCACATCTGTTCTACATGGTATCTTCAAGGTTATTCCACTTATTTTGAGGCTCGGGTCCTCTAGGCCTTCTCTTGGTTTCATTGAACTGTACCACATCTGTAATCAGGAGAGCATTTCTGGTGAGGAGTGCTGGCTTATATCAGTCATATAAGAAAACAAAATAAGTAAATTCCAGCATTTTATTTTATTTTATTTTTTTGCATTAGAGGGAAAAGTATTTATTCTGTTTCAGGCAACAAATAGATGGCATTTACTGATGGTTCTCCATAACATTATTACTCACTGTTGTTTTCCTGAGGTCTTCAATGCTTCGTGTATTCATCTTAAAACTGGAGGAGAAACAAAAAAAAAAACCCTTACTAATGTGTCCTTTGTCAAGGTAACTTTATAACAAATGTAGCAACGTGCATATAATTCGGGACTCCAAGAACTTACAAAATTTAGGGACAATTTCCCAAATTTAAGGTAATGCTCTTAACCACTTCATTTTTTTAATTTTATTTTTTACAAGAACCACCATTTCCGAAACTGAGATACTAATTCAGTTTTTATACCCATTTTCTATATAGATGTCTAGGCTGAGATTGTCAAGAAAGGTACCAATTGGTATTTTTCTTCGTGGAGGGTTTGATATAGGTGGCCTACATAAACTAAATTGAGACCACTAGTTGTTTTCATAGGTTGAAAAGTTCTTTAATGTTCATGATGCTCAATTCTCAACAGAGTTAAGGTGGATCCAATTAACAACTATTCGATAGACTTATTAAATTATTCTACATACAACATTACAAAGTTTTCATTTTTTTTCCCTTAAGTGACTGAGACCAAAGCATAGCTGATACCTGGCAGTAGCATTTTAATGCTCTAGCTCACCAAATAGTGATTCTGTGATGCTGGAAAGGTTACGTATGCCCCAGGAGCACACCTGTACTGAAGGTCAAAGTTGAGGCTTGTTGATAGAGGTTTTACAAAAGAGCCTTCTCAGTTCAACTTGGCTTGGTTGAACATGTAACAAATCATTTATGATTAGACCAAACCCTTCATGTCTCTCATGGCTCATGAATTTGCCTTTATTTTTTTAGAAAAAAAAAAAAAATCATCTCTGTAGTCAGAGATTATACCTTGATAAAGCAATTCAAGAAGAAGGAAACATAAATTTGGAAACAAAGTGTTTAAATTTTAAGCCACTGAAAAGGTATTGGAAAAAAATAAAAAATGACACCTTTCAAAAGTATGAAAAAAGCTGTCCCCTTGTTTTTCATTTTAACAGAAAAATCATCCTTAAAACAAGCAATATTCTTCCCCTTGAATCTCATTCTTTTTTGAGCCTGTAACTTTGGATTATACATATTTATCCATTGATATGCAAGAGGTGAATGGACATGTTTTGCAAAGCAAGGCTCTGAATGTTGCCATTATAAAATGAAATTAAAAAGCTAAATCAATCTAGGACAGCTCTAGTCTTTGCTTATACAGACACCCAGCAAACCACCTGTAGCACTTGGAATATTAGATGAAGATTTGATTACATGAACAGTCACAACTGCAAGGAAAAAGGTGTCTGATGAATCCAGTTCTGGCTAATTCCCATTATACCTGCTTGTAACAGTGATCTGAGGCATTCTGCCCAGTTCACTAGAGAACAGTTTTGAATGAGGGGCCTCTTTCATCGGGTATTGTCTACAATCTAAAGGCAGGAACCCTCCCTCATGGTCTGCCTTTTAGTCTCACACTGATGTGTCAAACACATGATGAACTTACTCATTCATGGCTGCCTTTTGTGATCTATTCTGTGTTCAAAAAAAAAATGAGTGAACTGAACTGGATCGAATTAGCTTGGTGAAAACCAAGAATGTCATTATTTAGCGAAGTGTGGCGCTAATTTGGGATACCTTTCTTTTGGGACCATTTCCTCGTGTCAGACAAGATATAGAATAATACGGTCTGACTGCTCAACTGAGTGAGTTTCTGAAAGGTTAAGAAAGCAGGATCTTTTATAGAACTGAATGACTTAATAGTTTTTGTGAAATACATTCTGAGATGCTCGTTCATAACAGCAACTTAAAAAAGAATCAGGAACAGTGACTATACATAAAAACTGAACTTTAAAATTAGAAAGGCAGAGGATTGGGAGTACTAAATAATGTTTTTAAACAGAAAAATAATCATGCACACTGCATTATTGTGAACCTCCCGACTGCATCTACAAAACCAGCAAGTGTAGGTACTTTCATAAGCAGTTGTCTACATTTAAATACAGAAGGGTCACAAATAAAAAACTGATTGTGTACATATTTTAAGAGAAAAGTGGGAAATAGACCCCCTCCCAGGGAAGTAGTGAATCATTTTGATTGTTATCTTATCTATCTATATTTTAAATCAGATTGTCTACTAACTAGTCCATGGGCTCAGTGAGCCTAGCATGGTTTCCTGCCAGCTCTTCTAGCCTGAGGTGAGTATGAGAAATTGCAGGCTCTCCCAGCTGTACTCATAATTCACCATTTGTGAATTTAATAATACCTTTAAAGAATATACTGTAAAACTGCAAAAATACATTTTTGCAGCATTGTGTATTTAAAGTTCCTAGGCCTTTTCTTAAGTTTCATCATAATAATACACCTTGAAGTTAAAGTTGACATCTTAGTTGGCTAATAATAACCATGTAAAAGCAAGCCAAAAAAGCATACACCTAGGATTATAGGAATCATAAATTGTATATTAAGTAAGCCTACATCTCTCTCTCTCTCAAGCAACTATTTTCTTAAGTATAGAAGGTCAGTCTGATTTTAACTGAAGCCGCTGATGTCAGCAATATCCAAATTCTAATTAATATGTATATCTGAACGATAAAAGCAATGTGGATGTCAATGCCATGCTCTGCTATCATTGTAGGACTACAGAGCACAGTTATAATAGCTAAGATCCTATCCCTATTTTTTTGCCTTGGGTTTGATAAATTGGCAGCAAATCTATGCTGTGGAAGCATGACAAAAATATGTTCACAGCTTGGAAGCATATTTTCCTTTTAGATTTTAGAGTGCGGTTCCACTGTAAAAAACAATTGTAAGCATTGGCATTGTGGGATTCTATATTTATTGTTTTTCAGTTACTTCCAAACTACATTTGCTCAGTTTGCAAGTAAGAAAAGATGTTTCTTCACTAACTGGCAGGCTTTTTTTTTTGCCAGCTCATCCTGGAAACTGAAAGTCAAAATTGGGTTTATCTGGCTCAAACATCACTATTAAAACTGTCTTGTGTATATACACATAATTACTGTTTTCCAAAATTTAGTTTTAAGTGCTATTAGAAAGGCACACTAAAATTGATTTTAATAGGATTTTGCATCTCCTCAAATAAAAGTTCCAGAGCACAGGGTATTTATTGCTCAATAAAAATCACACAGTTATAATGTGAATAATCTATTTAGTTTAGTAAGGACAGCATGTCAAATGTGGTTTAAATTTGCTATTATGATCCAAGATGAGTAATTAAGACTTTAAAATAAGCTTCGCTGAAATGATATTGTGCCTAAAGGCACACAGGACAGCATATGAAATCAACAGTAGATCAGCTGAGGGTTTCTCAAAATTCTGCCTCTACGTGCTTCTTTTCTCTCATTTCTTTTATTGCCTCTTAATTCTTTTATTGCCTCTCAAGTCATCGTCTTTAGTATCACTAATCTTGCTTCCTTCTTCTATGTTGCTCCTTACTTTAATCCTTCTTGTGTCTAGGTATGGTCAAATGACCAAAGATTCCTCCTTACAAATCTCTTGTATCTAATATATAATGCCTACAAAGTTTTTCAAACAATTCACAAAAATATGCTGCCTTGTTATGATCCAATTTATGCTTGGATACTATAAAGTATAGAAAGATTTTCTATACTTGATCTTAGCCCATTGGGCTGAGTGATGACACTTACTACACTTCAACTACACGACAGTGCAGTATAGACTTCACTTAAAAACAGATAGCTTAGGTACCCATCCCAGTTTACATGAGGCAGCAAAAGCTCTACAAAGGCTGCAAAACTCACTGAAGAAACTGGTAAATACATGGTTTGGTTAACCCACACTGAGCTGTGCTGTCATAGGTAAGCTGCTAGAAGTACATGACCTAACTGTAGAGCTACACTTAAGGCTGTTTATAGACATGGGGGAAAAAAAGTGCTTTACCAGAAGCAGCAAAATGGTAGTTGGACTCTGCTCTTCAGCATCTGTATAGATCGGGCGCTTCAGTGAGGCTTTTTCGTGCTTTTATCTAATAGCTGATTCAATCAGCTTTTAGATAAAAGTGCCAACAAAGCCCCACTAAAGCGCCCAATCTATACAGACACTGGGGAAGCCGGGTCCAACTAACACAATGCCTCTTCTGGGCATGCGCTGGGCTCGGCATGGGGGCTCACAGAATTTAAAGTAAAGCTCGGGAGAGGCGGGGGGGAGTTGGGTTTTTTTTACATCTGTAAGTAGCCTAAATTTATTTTATTGGTTTTATGATTAGGTTTTTATCAAATTTTGAAACTTTATGATGGTAAAAAACTTAAACATTAAAATTGCAGGCCGCAGAATTTCTAGATATCTATAAATAGAAGATTTAAAACAGTGTTTTAAAAAAACTCACTGTGAAAATAAGGTTATGGACAAACAGAGAATTTGAAGCTGGATAGAAAGAAATTGGGGCTTTAATATGCATCAATTATTTTGCTGTAACTGCCCATCTGCAGACAGCCTACAATGAAATTGGGGCAGAACTACCATGGCTTAGCTTCCATTTGCCAAGGGATAAGAATGGCACACGGGCAGTCATCATAGACCACCACAGGCACCATAGTAAAGCTTTGCCCCATTTATTCTGCATTAAATAGTTTTTATGTCCACACTCTACAACCGTTACTAGCTGAACAGTTTTATCTGCCAATATAATGTGTCGCACTTCTCTAACATACTGTTTGTAAATCATAATATGCTTAAAAAGCAAGAAAAATCTATCTTTTGTTAGTCAGATCAGAAGGCTATAGTGATCTTGTGCAATACGTTGGATTGAGTTTTATTATAGTTTTTACAAGCAAAATTGGCTAACAACAATAAAATGGAAATTTTTCAGGCATTTAAATATTTCTTTTACTATGCACTTTCATACTCAGCTACGAGATCAAATATTGAACAGACGGTGCTTTGGCTAAACGACTTAAGACATTTTATCCTCAGGAGAGCTACTGTACACATCAGTTAGGTCATTATATTTTAAGTTGTGTCATCACTTCTACTTTAAGGTCCTACTTTCAGGGATCTATAACTCAGCTAGGGGGAAAAAAAAAAAATCACCCCAG